ATGGGGTTTGGGGATGGGGGTGAGAACTGGAGACACAGCACAGGGATCTTGGGGAGCATTGGAAGGCTTGGTGTCACCACCATAACCACGATAATCACCAGTACTTTTGGCGCAGTAGTAGGTGGCCGTGTCCTCGGTCTTGAGGCTGTTCATCTGCAGCTTCACAGTGCTCTGGGAGTTGTCCCTGGAGATGGTGAAGCGCCCCTTGACCGGCGACGCGTAGCTTGTCCAACTACCAGCACTATTCATGTGCGCGACGAACTCGAGCCCCTTCCCGGGCGCCTGTCGCACCCATTCCATGGCGTAGCTGCTGAAGGTGACACCAAAGCTCAGGCTGGACGTGACTGGGGACAGGGGCAGGAGGGGACACCCCACCAGTCCCCCTGGTCCTTGCTCCAGGCTGGCACCGGCCTCGGCGGAGCAACTCTTGTGTCCTGGTGGGATCCAGGCTCAGGATGGGGTCTGGGAGTGATTCCGCCGTCCAGACTGGGGGTCAAGGTCCCACCTTGGGGTGGGGCTTTCAGGGAGATGGTGGGACTTTGGGGAACCCCACAGGGATGTTGGGGCGCGGTGACCAGGTCTGGGTCAGGGCAGAGAGTCCCAACTTCAGGCATGGGGTCAGGGCTCCAGGAAGGTCCCGTCCGGGGGCAACGTGTCCGTTTTGGGTAGAAGAGTGCGGATTTGGGGAGATGGGATTTGGGGAAGATGTTGGGATTTGGGGATGCAGGGTGGCAACGCTGACAGTCGGGATAATGATTTTGGGGGAAACCACGAGGGTATGTCTGTGGTGGAGACATACATCTGGGCTTGACGCGAGGATTTGGGGAAGATTCCGGGTGTCTGTGGCAGCCAGTCTGTGCCGGAGCTGCTGGAGGTGGAGCCAGAGCCCTCAGAGAGGAGGTGCGGGGCACGGATTTGGGCCAAACCCCAAGGATTTCAGCTCTATAAATGTTTTGCTGCTTGATGGAAGGGTCCAGGCGTGCCAGAAGACCTGAAAAACCGTGTGAGGTCTTCAAGGGAGATGCTGTGATTTGGGGATGCGGTGACAGCGTTGGTGCCACCACCATCAGCACTACCACCAGTAGCAGCACTTTTGGCGCAGTAGTAGGTGGCCGTGTCCTCGGTCTTGAGGCTGTTCATCTGCAGCTTCAGAGTGCTCTGGGAGTTGTCCCTGGAGATGGTGAAGCGCCCCTTGACCGACG